GAGGGCGGCGGTCGCTACAACGATGTGCAACGCCACGGAGAAGGAGGCGGTCGCCACAGTGACGCTTACCGCCACGGGGAGGGCCGACACGGCGACAACCATCGCCACGGCGAAAGCCGGCACTTCGCTGAGGTGGGCAGTGGCAATCGCACTAACAGTGACAGCAGGAACAGCAACGAAGGTAGGAGCAACGAGAATAGGAATGGGGAGAACAGGAAGGATTCCAGCAGCCGAGACAACAAGACAGATGGGTTTGCTGTCCCAGAGCCCCCAAAACGTAAGAAGAGCCGGTGGGACAGTTAAAAGCTGGTGTTTCGCAGCCCGGAATCTCTGCAGGTAACGTTGTCTTTTACCAGAGGATTTCTTGGGGTTTTTGGTAACTGGTTGTTGAGCAGCTGGGGGAGGAGAAGGCAACCATGACAACTCCCCGTGCAAGTCTGGGCCGGTACATCTGCGGACAGATTCACTCTAAAGACGTGTCCACACAATGCTTAGTCAAAGCGAAATCATTTTGATAAAGCTCCCTGGGTCCTGCTTTGAAGCATTCAGTGCTCAAGTGACTCTCTGCTGGATTTAAACAGATCTTCTTGAGAAGAAAGAAGCTGTTTCATGTCCTTGGAACGTTGAGAAACTGTTGTCCATAGAAGTATACAGTAGTTTTTCTTAACCAGCGTTCACACTTACAAAAGCCAGTCCATCTAGAGATGCTCAGGACCCACCTTTAAACATTAACCTTTCAGCGGTTTGTTCAGTATGGTGAGTTCTTCCCCAATCTCTTCTTTTCACATACCCCCTCGTCCCCCAATAATTTGGCCTCCGCGTCACCCCTTACCCATCAACTGAGAGTGTCTCAGTCTGCGTTGCTGAAGGTGGGACGGAGCAAGTTGGTTTTTCTTCCCTTATTTTTTTACGGAGCTGTTCAAGGGATCCTTCTGCAGCCCAGCTAACCACACGTTCACACCTAGCGTAGGACGGACTCCCTGGCTTGTTTGTGGTCAGTACCTCAATCCCAATCCCGTTGCCCAGGTATATTTTTTTTTTCTTTTTAAAGAGCCTCTTCTTTCCTAATAACCTCCGTTCTGGTGGAAGCCTGCATAGCAAACTTGTCTCTCTGCTGTGCCTACGTGCCCTCTGTTATGAGAGGGCTGTGCTTTCTTCAAATTAAAAGCAAAAAAGGGAAAAAAAAATGTAGATGCGCCACAACAATCAGAGGCTGGTGCCCCCCTGAAGTGTAGCTAAATGAAGAGGCTTCATTCGGAAATTCAGGGACTTGCTGCTCAGAAGCCTTAAGGGAGAACCTGAAAAGCAATGGCTGAAGTGGAACAGCTCAGATTTCGCCCCGGATTGGACACGTGTAGTTAAAAACAAGTAAAATCTTGCTTGACCGTTTTTAACTCGTCGTGTGTATTATCCGTTTTTTAACTTTTTTTTTTTTTTTTGCGCCATAAAGGTAAGGAAGAACTCGTTTTGTTGAAACATGTCAGCACCCACCTCTGTCTTGTTTCTACTGAAAGAAGTATCAGAAACTGTCAGGTTTTTGTGACGTTGTGATGTTTTCTTTATCAGCTGTGCATTTACTTTCTGCTTGCTCTAGTAAATGTTTTATTACTGGGACAAAACCACCTGGCACGTGCTTTTTATTCTCCACTTCTTCCATTGGCTGTTGTGGATGGTGATTTGACTGACGGGAGATGTCACCGCGTCCCTTTCTTTCCCCAGAAGTTGTGGATTGTAGTTGCTAAAAGCCTTCCTGTGGTTTTTCTCAGTATCTTTCCCCCCAAAGTGTTTTGCAAACCCTCTTTTAGCTTCAAAGCCTCCTGGGGAATAGATTTTTCTCCATTTTACAGGTGGGAAGGGCGCAGCCTGGGACATGTCGCTCATCCCAGCCGTCATTGGAGAAGGAACTCGGCCAGTCTTGGGATCTGACTTGCGTGTGGGCTGGTTGCAGTTAAGACACCGACTTGATTATTTGGGCCCCTTCACTAACTGCCTCTAATCTGTTGGGTTTTCCCTAAAAATAGCGTCCAACTGAATTCTCTCGGCGCGGTCGAGGCAGAAGCCTCATTGCTTTGAGCTCTGCGTATTTAGTATTAAGACAAGGATGCTCCCAGGGCAGATGGGGCAGGGGTTCAGAAGCTGTTGCATTCCCCTGATCCCACTGAAGGTTTATCGCTCTGCACGGTTAAAGATTTGAGTTTCAAACAGACAACCCAAAAGCTCTGTAGTCACAAGCTGCCATCTGCTCCCTCCCTTCCTGGATCTCGCTGCCACTGGGAACCGGCCCCCTACGTGGCATCTGCTCGGGTTTCTCCCCTTCTTTTTAACGCATCCCTCTGCTATTCGCTGGGATTATTGAAATTCCTCACCCCTCTCTCAGCTCCCAGGGGCCTCCTGAGACTTGAATGAGTAAATACTGATCACGGGCAGCGAGCTATAAACGGCAGCTCGCAGGTCCGCGTTAGATGCGTGAGGGGTTGATTCCATCTCCGGGGAACAAGGCCGCAGTGTGCGCAACGCGCCGGCCGCCCCCCAAGAGAATCTCTCTGCTGGCCGGGGCCGGCTGCGCTGCCGCCT